AACCAAAGCCCTTGGGGGGGGGGGGAGAAGAGGCTGCCGTGACAGCGGGGGCAGGAGGGAAAGCGAATAAAAAAAAAGAAAAGAAACCAAATTAAAAAAAAAAAAAAGAGGGAAGAGCCAAGAACGCACTTGCTTCTCATCATCTCCCAAGGAGGAAACGCCAACTCTGCTCCTCTTATGCCCCTGCGCTGCGGGGAGCACAGGGAAGGAAGGTACCGGGGCAGCCCGAACAAAGCCGGGCTGGGGCCGCCCGGAGCCGCCTCGGGAGGGGCGGGAAGGTGGCCGGGAGGGAGCCGGGAGAAGCCCAGAGGGAGCTTCACGGAAGGCAAGGAGCAGAAATGAAAGTTTCGAAATAGCATCCGAGCAGCCGCGAAGGAGGGGAGCGCCCCGAGCTCCTGGCCCCGCATCAGCCCGCGCTGGTGCATCCGAGGGGCTGCAGCAGGGATGTGACCCTCCCCGCCCGCTGCGCGGACACGGGGAAAGACCCAGACATCCCTTGCTATTTATTTATTTCTTGGAAGCCATGGACGGGTGACACCCAGAAGGCATCTGAGTCCTGAAAAAAAATATATAAAAAAAATCAAACCCAAAACAACAAAAACCCAACCCAAACCACCCACCTCTGGACCCAAACGAGAAGAAGAAGAATGAGGCAGCAGCTTTGACCCCTGCACTGAGAGGAAGGTGAGCAGAAAGAAAGAAAGGAAGGAAGGAAGGAAAGCCAGAAAAGCCATGCAAGCACCAAACCTGTAGATTACTGCAGCAGCTCTTTTTTGCTTCACTGAGGACAGATACTTCACTGACAGCCATGCAGCAGAAAGGCATTATGCTGATTTTCTTCTTGGAATATTTTCTTTCTGGTCATGGGGAAGCAGGTAAGCAAAATTAATCATTATTGTGATTCATGAAGCAATTTATCCTAAGTTTAGCAAGGAGAAAAGGGAAAGAAAACAGGTCTGTTTGTTACAAATAAAAATAATAGTAATAAAAAAGTACTTCAACATTTTTATTTTAGATCGGATTTTTATAAGGAATCTGGGTTAGTCAATGTATACAAATGCTTCATATTCCCTGAAATGCACAGCTTCATAGCTCAGTCTCCTGCCAAAGACATATAATAGGACTTATAATTCATACATCCTTAACAGAAGAAAGTGTAGTATTTTTGTGAATGAAAGAAAATTAAGAGAGAAAGAAAGAGGTCGATGAACTGAGATGTGCTAGATATTTGTTTTGAGGTGAAACACTACCTTCCTGGGCAGGGCAAGAGTGAAATGACATCTTTGGGTACAGCATCACTCTGAATCATTCTCTATTAACTTCATTTTTCATCATTAGAAGTCAGAGATGCTGTGTAGGAATTACTATTTATCCAAGACAATCCGTTCCTTTGGTGTATTCCCTGACTTCACAGTTCACATGAAGTGCAAAAGAGTAAATCAGTATTAGAAGGAAAATGGTTTAGGACAGAAGAAGTGGATTAGTTGTGTGTGTATATATGGGTGTACAAATCAATATATCCAGGAATGATACAGGTGTAATGGTGTTTACATAGGGTCTGAAAAATACTTGGACTGTGATGGAGACAAACTTCTTAAGGGAAAGGAGGCAAAGCATTACATTGTCTTCTTCTTGCTGTGGTTCAATACCTCTTTAAGGTGAAGAGGTGAATTATGCAGATCAAGTCAGAAAAACAAAAATAAGTATTGATAAAACAACAATACATCCTTGGTGACTTTTTCTTTGAGATACTGGCTTGGGATCTCACTTTCTGTGCAGGAAAGCTTGCCAGTGGTTTAAATTTCACTGGTGTGCTCACAGTATTAGGGCAGGAACAACACTCACCTGCAGGGATCGGAGAGCGACTGAAGTGTTCAGCCACCCTGCAGGCTCCAGGGAAGTCACAGGCAGATCAGGTGGCTTCAGCTCAGATTATTCCCCAGCTAGAACCTTTCTGATAGCACAGACATCAGATCTCCATAACTGCAGGAGTTCATCTTCTCAAAAGCTGAAAGGATCTTATGAATTTACAATCCTGTCATATTACTCAGTGACCCGATTGAGGAAAAGGCTGGGTATTGCCACATGGAGGGAGGACATGGCACCTTAGTGCTCTTAGTGTCTGGTTGTGGGCACTCACTAGTTTCCCAGGCTAGGACTGTCCCTATAGAGACATATGTTGACACAGAAAGGTTCCAGAGATGACTCATAAAGGTGCTGATGCTGATATGAAAAGCAGACTGTTACAAACTAGCCGAAATTTGCTGAGCATCCAACTCACAAAGTGAAAACAAATCTTCAAGGAAATGCAGCCCACAGGTGACTGTTTGGAAAGTGACTCTGAGGGGAGGGAGTGTTCTCTGTGTGAAGCAAACCACACGCAGAATAATGCTGTAGGACATAGTGAATAACAGCAAAATAATTGGATATTGAAAGTGATGATGCTAAGGATTCAAGGTAACTTCAAATAAATACATGCTGCTTGCTTGGTCAAAAGGTTGCAACAACCATCAGCCTGTGAAGCTCAAGGGTTACCTGTTCATTTTTAATTTCTTTTTTAATTATATTTTTTTAAGGAGCAATATAAGAAAATCTTGAATTAACCTTGAATCCTGACAGGTCCTGTCACAGCCAGGTAGTGCTGCTCAGACTGAGGTTAGTCCAGTCAGTGTTTAGACAGTCTGTAAAATTATTTGGGAGTCTCAGCCTCTTCCTGAGCAGAGAGGTTTACAGGGAAGTAAGTTTTTTAAATACTTTATTATCCTACACGGTAAACTCCTTTTTCATCCCTTTAGTTGGTCCCTCCTGGTCAGAAATGAAATAAATTGATGTGGGTGTACATGGAGTACAGTATTTGTGGGGAGTACAATCTTTGCCTTCTGCCATTTCTGTGCAGAGAAGACAGGGTTGACAATAGATCCTCACATATAATGCCGGGGCCCTTTAGTTGGTCCCTCCTGGTCAGAAATGAAATAAATTGATGTGGGTGTACATGGAGTACAGTATTTGTGGGGAGTACAATCTTTGCCTTCTGCCATTTCTGTGCAGAGAAGACAGGGTTGACAATAGATCCTCACATATAATGCCGGGGGGGGTGGGGGGGTGGGGGTGGGGGGGGTAAACCCTTAGTGGCCAGGCTGGAGGAGTCACCTAGGTTGTATCTTGTGAGATCACAGAATCACAGAATGCCAGGTTGGAAGGGACCTCAAGGATCATCTGGTCCACTTGGATAATCCTTCCCCTTGTCTGATGCAGGTGCAGGGCGTTATTCCCCAGAAGTCCCAAGGGGCGCAGCAGCTCTCCTCCTGGTGGCAGCCTTCCAAGAGAGGGCGTGGTGGGCCAAAAAATGGCCAGTTCTAGCACCAAGCTTGAAATCAATTGTAGGACATGATTATCAGCAGGGTTCAGTTTCCTCTGTTCTGAGCTTATTCAGCTCATCTGCCAAGGAAGCTGTAGGTGTTGGAGCCCACCCTTGTTCCAGGAGGGGTGCAGGCTGGCAGACTCCAAATGGTCACAATGGAATATTGTCCAGATGTGGGATCTTATTCTTCCATACATGCCTCAGGACATGGAGGGAGCTTTGTTTCATAGCATATTCAGAACTTCACCTCTGGGGTATTTATGAAGGCTGGCTCATTAGATGCAGTCATGAGGGCTGTTTTAATGCAGAAATAAATTAGGCTGCTCATGAATGGATGAAGATTTGCCAAACTTATTGCATGTTGGCTCCAGACAAAACAAAAGGTTATAAGCATTAAGAGGTAAAGTCCTAGGTTTGATAGAGAAAAACTTGAGCAACTCATGTCCCCAGGATGGTTAACTTTAAAAGAACATTTTAAAGCTTTGGATTATAAAGAAAAAAGTTAAACAGATATAGAACAATTAAATCCAGACTGGACATACATGCTGAAACTGTTCCATCAAAAGTATAGCAGAAGATGTCCAAAGGTTGGTTTACATGTTGCTCAGAGTTGTAATTTGCTCCCCTGTCTCACTGTAGGAGATTTGAACACACAGAACCTTAAATTTGCATATGGAAAAGAAATATAAATTCCAATTCAAATCACTCAGAAAATACTAGGCATCTTTCCAGTCACATCAGCAGGCTTTGACTGAGTTGCCATATGACCTTACTTCTGTCAGGTGTCCAAGGGAGGGTGAAAAAGCACCCTAAAAGAAATTCAGCCTCCTTTGAGTTAATGTCTACAGTGCTCTGTTACATTACAAGGCTCTGAAGTAAAAAGTGTCTGTTTGAAATGGTGTCCCAGGAATATTGATAGTATGACCTCTCTTGAACTTCATGATTCCCTAATCATTGGGTAACACCATTGTTATAACACGTGCTGGGCATCTGCCATTGACCTGCCACTTTGTGGCACAGCTCTGAGGGACCAGAAGACAAACAAATAAATCAATCATACCGTTTATGGAGCCAAGCCATCCTCCATGGAGCAAAAGCTCATCAACTTCAATAACATGCAGTGCCCAGGCACAGTCAAACTGTTTAGTTCTTTATGAATTATGCAACGAGCCCTCCTGGCGGTTGGGATAAGTTGTTTGTTTGCCTGGCTGCTGTTTCTCCTCTGCAGTGGTCCCCCCTCACCATCTAGATTCAACATTTCATCTTCTTACCACAGAACCAGTGAGTGATGGACAGACTGTCCTGTCCTTGTGGCCAAGCAATGTTCTGCCAATTGATTTCTTTAAATGCAAAGCTTTTAACAGACTGCAGATTTTGTTTTCCAACATCTCTCCTTCTCTTAAACTCCCTTTTGCTAATTTGCACTTTGTTCTTCTCCCATTTTCCTAATGACACTGCAGTTCAGGCAGGAACTGTTTATTGATGTTGCTGCGTTAGCAGGCAGAGCAGATAAACCTCCTAGTGACTGTGCTCAGAACAACAGGGTTTTTCTTCCTTTTCCAGGTTCAGATAAAAACAGCTGAAAAACTCAATGCAAAACTAAAATTCCATTTATGAGAAATAAAAAAAA